GCACATACATCTGTTTAAATGTGAGCTCGTATGCGTCTGCATTTTGTTCAAAAATGTCGAACCACTGCTGAACTGCTTGACCGTCAAAATCGTTAACAACTTTTTCGAAATTATCATGTTGCGGTTTAACGTAAGTACTTGTGTTCTCGTCAATTTGAATTTTTAAAGAGAGCAACTGAAGTATACCATCCATTTGCTTTTTCATCTCAGCAACATCCATTCGACTGTTTTCCTCACCCATTGTCTCGTTCTGATCCTCTTCCACCTCTTTTAGATCTTGATTTTCTTGCTTCTTTTTTGCTGGCGTTCGACGCGTCATTTATGATTGAATGGTGAGACTTGTCTTTGAATTTCACAACTTGGCTACTTAGTGTTTTTTCTTATTCTGCGTAACTCTTTTAATTTCTTTCACTTATTTGGTTATCTCAGACCCGGTGCGAGCCCCCAAATGTAAAGTTGGTATTATAAGTGGTATATTTAAATTAACAGTACGCTGAGATATTAAATAAATGATCAATGTTTACAGCAACGTTCTTAGCTTCTAATTTTAACTTGAGCAACTGAAGGCAACTTTAGGCAACTTTGACGACTTTTAAATGCGACCGCTTCTTACGACTTCCTTCTGCGAATGAATCTCCGTCGTAATTCCTTCTCCGGTTTCTCATTCAGCTGTTCTCTAGATCGCTGAATACCATTCACAACGAGGGAGTTGTATACTAGCTGTGCTCTTCTGCCTTAACCCTTTACATACATATGTATGTATTTACATTGTACACAGTAGCAATTGCCCGGCTAAGATAACTCCTTTCAAAGAAAGCTATTCGCTATACCCGTTACTCGTGTTGTGTAAACATTTAGACTATAATATACATAATACTATTTAAGAATGTATGTGTTTAGCCAATATAAGTATGTATGTTTAATATTTCTAGTCAATTTATTGCACTCAAAAACATAAACATAAACACAGCTGCTGGTGCAGGACAAAAGCTGCCTGCGCTAAAGCAGCGCAGTGCTCGTGCTGTAAAGCTGGCGGCACTAAGAGATCGCCAAATTCAAATTGATAATTTAAACTTTTTGTCTTTTTTTCCTGTGGTCACTACAATTCACATTATGTTAAAAAAAAAAAACAAAAAAAAACACAAGAAGGCATATTTATACACATATTTGTTTAGCTGAGTAACGGGTATCTAATAGTCGAGGCACTCGACTATAGCGTTCTCTCTTGTTTTTGTTGTTCTTTGCGATTTGGTAATATTTAAATATTAAATTATTTAAATTAAAATTGGACATCAACATCAGAAAGCTGCCATGGAAAAATCGATATAGCTTCATTGTTTTTAGTAACATAGGAATAGAAATCGAAATGTAGTCAAGGATATATAAACTTCGGCTTGCCGAAGTTTGCTTCGTTTCTTTTTTTTTAATTTAAGGGAGTTCAAATTATTAATAAAAATTATTGCCACGAGACATATACACATCCTGAAATCCGCTGAAACTCTAACTAACTCTATATTTTTGCTCTAGTTCGTAGGAATTATCCTTAACTTGATAATACCATAACTCGACGCAGAGCGGACCCAGGTTAAGACTTTACACCGAGAACCAAGAGCGATGCTGAATAAAAGACCCAGACCCTGTCGGTATACATCATATACAACTGTTTTAGTAAGGCAGGTTCCTAAATTCAAAAGTTACGTAAAAAGTTCCCTAAGAACTATGCCAGTTACGTAAAACGGTTTGATTGGCTAGACATAAAGAGCCTTTATTTGATCAAGAAGCTTAGATCGCATTTGCACGCATTTGTAGACGAATCCGTTTTAGAACCTCCAATTGAACAATGTCGTTGCCAAAGAGGAATTCAGCACCAGATTAAAGAACTTTTCAATAAAATGAATTGACTAGTTTCCCTTAAATGAACGGATGCTTTGGTGTCCTAGATGCACAAAAGTACAAAAGTCTTTTAGCTTAACCTTTCGCCGAAGTGCGTAATACCCTTGCAGAGGGTCAAGAAGTCAAAAGTTTGCAACGCTGTGAAAGAAACATTTCCGATTCTTAATCAGTATCACCAGGAGAATCGATCCAGCCATGTCCGTCTGTCCGTCTGTCCGTTTCTACGCAAACTAGTACCTCAGTTTTAAAGCTATCTGCTTGAAACTTTCCCAAAAGTTGTCTTTCTATTGCAGGTAGTACGAGGGCAGTCCGATAAGTACTTAGCCTCACCGCCCGATGGCGTCACTATCGGAAGAGAAATTTACTATCGTGTAGTACATTCTCGTAGACGGTTGTCGAAATTTCAGCCGAATCGGACTCGTAGTTTTGTTTTGACTGCGTGTGGAATCGGACGTGTCCGCGGATTCTAGAAAAATGGAGAAAGAGCAATATCGGTCTGTGATTCGATTCTTGTTTTTGGAAGGGAAACCGCGCAGCGAAATCAAAGAGCGCTTGGATGCTGTATACGGTGACTCTTCTCCTTCGATGGCGACCGTCAAAAATTGGTTCAACGAGTTTGAACGTGGTCTCGTATTGGCAGACCGCCGATTGAAGATACGCGAGATAGCTGAGACAGTAGGAATGTCAATGGGTCACATCCTGTATGATATTTTGGGCATGAGAACAAACGCAACCGTGAGAACACTTCAGAGCAGTGTTTGATGCTGTTTAAGCGCAATCCGAAGGAGTTTCTGCGTCGTTTCGTGACCGTGGACAAAACATGGATCCACTGGTACACACCAGAGACCAAGGAACAGTCGAAACAGTGAAGACTGTCCCATCGGCCGGAAAGGTGATCAAAAGGTTTTTTGGGATTCACAAGGTGTGATCTACATCGACTACCTGGAGAAGGGCAAAACTGTCACAGGGCTGTACTACGTTGAATTATTGGGCCGATTCGCCGCCGAATTGCAGAAAACACGGCCCCATCTGGCGAAGAAAAAAGTGCTCTTCCATTAACGTAGCATTCAATAGGACTCGAAATCATATTATATTTTTAAATGCGCCAAAAAAATATATTTTTTGGATTTGAAATCTATAATCGATCGAATAACTTTTACAACGCTTTACAAAGTTATCCGCACTTGGGAACCGTAACTGTTTTCTGAGTTAAGCTTTAGTTCATCTCAAGGAACAAATAATTTAAGTTAATTCTTGAATAATTGTTGATCAAACTATTATAAGCATGAACCTTAAAGAGTATTATGTAGTGAATCTCTAAATAGACTCTCAATTTTCACTTGCTTGTGCCATCATTGTGCATCAATGTCCGAAATTAAAAAGTGTATTTATGACAGGCCGCAGGATCATATTATGATCCTTTTGACGAAAAGTAAAGAATTGGGTTCGATTCAAACAAGTTGCTTGCACTTCTGGTAAGGTTAGACACATGTATTTGTTTTAGCCCCGATCTTTTTTTCTATTTTCAACAACATTTTTGATATGGTACTAGTTTCTTAAGCCAAGTATTTAGGTATCCAAGTATCTGCTATATATACATATTCGAAATTATTACAAATGTAAATTAATGATATTGGCAAAATCAAAAACAAAATTAAATTCAAATATTTTAAATCATAAAATACTATCTCTGCTTGTTTCTAAGTATAACAGAATCAATAATTAGGTAAGGTGAAAGGTAAAAACATATAAATTTACCTAGGTAATGAAAAAATATCCCACGATTTTGAATTAAGTACGTTCATATAGGTAAAGGCATGCACATAAAGGTATACATGGTCGCCAACACGGTTTATCATTAAGATTTTTTTTAAAATTGTCTAGTTAAAAAAGAATTGTCTAGTTTTTAAGATTCTGCAACAAACTTAGGAGTAATACTTGAACATTAACTTAGACTTAACCATGACACGTCAAGGGAAAGTCCTAAGATAGCAGTTGTTCTTCCGTATTGTAGAGTAATAGTACCTCTTATAAAGCAGAAATACATGGACATCCCGATTCACATCGAGCACATCGACTGCGATAAGAAAGGGTATATCTTGTCTGCGCAACTAAGCCGCACAGTCAGGGGACCAAATTAGACTTCTGCATGAATGCACTCATTTGTAGCATAACAGATCTGTACAGTAGTGTAGTGTTCTTAAAAATACTGCACTCATTCTTTACTGTACAGTATACTCTATAGGCCAGAAGAAGATAGCACAACATTTTCAGTGTACTCACTTCGAGTGAGTACAGTATATGGTTGTAGTCTTCGTGAGTGAGTACAGCATTTGTCCTTTTTTAAACACGCTGTACAGCTTGTGTGTTGACTGTGTACAACTGTGCAGATGAGTGCAGTCAAAAATTGACACCACTGAAGACATGGTAAATAAAATAATGTTCCTTCATTCCAATATTAATAACTTAAATATAGATTCTTTAATAACATAAAATAATTGTTATAATTAGTTTTAATTAAAATATTAATAATTTCTAAATTCTTTATTTTATAATAAATACATTTGAAACGAAAATACAAATCAAATTTTTAATCGTATTCTTTCTATGACATACATACACACGAGATCTATATATGTGTGTATGTACTGCACACCAAAACACTGTACAGTGCGTTGACTACTGCACACCAATTTAGCTGTACTCATCAACAGCTGTACAACTATGGAATGAGTGAGAACACTGTCAACCAAAACAGACAATACTACCCTACTCACTCACACCCAAATATACTGTGCAGAAAAAAAAGTGAGCCCACTTCTAGACTAAGTGATTCATTTGTCGTTTTGGATGCATTAATGCAGAAGTCTAGACCAAATCACAACAAGCTCACAAAAAGAAGCACATCATGCACGAGATGACACAACAGTTTGCTGTATGCCATATATGGGTCTGGGTACTCTGTTAGATAGCTAACTCACAGAGATTAGGTCAAAGCCTAAGAATGTAGGTCATATAAATAAGCGCACACCTAGGGTGATATTTGATTTAAGATCTTAAGTTTTATAATGATATTAAGTTAAATCACAGAATAGTGGATAACTCACCTTTATCGTTGTAAATGTTGAGTTTGCCTTCTTCGTGGCACAGGGTACAGCCCTTGTGAGTCTCCAAATTGGAAGCATAGTAATTGCTGCTGCTGATTCCATTGCAGTTTATTAGTTTTACTTCAAACCAGACAAGCCCAATAAGAAGCCAGATGAGATTGGCCCTATTGCGCTTATTCTTTGAGCAGTTACGCATCGAATTTTGTGTCGATGACCAAGGCGATATTATTTCCCTTAACGGCGACACCAGAACACTTCTTTCTGTCTGACCCGTAAGATTACCTCCTGGTATCGCGTCATACTTTGCTCTGAATTTTGTCTCCAAAGACTGGCATGTGCCATCGCTAAGGCTTAGACTTTGCTGAAAGACGATTTTATTTTTCTGCACTTGTTGATCACTTCGAATATGTTTTTGTGACCTGCGTGGTACTTGCAGTCGTTTGTCGCTGACCGCATTCCTGTGCCTGCGCCGCCTGCGCCTGCGTCGACGACGCTTCCTTCGTTGTCGTTTGCGATTTTGACTATTGCAGAGCATTCTGCAGAGGCTGTTCGATTGCACCTGCTGGTCATTATTGACTTCGTACGAAGTGAACCCGTAAAAGAACTTCAGCTTCGCATCCGTGTTGCTGTTGGGAGTTTCGTTCGGCGCCGTAGGAACGGATACGTGCACTGCTCTGCCACTCGCACCGCTTCCGTCAGAAACATTGGACTGGCCAAGCACCGGAAAAATATCAAGTAGAATGCAGCTTGTCAGCAGAGTTGCCAACGCAGTGGCCCAGCGTGCAAGCACCAAAATGGCGCCCATTAGCTTGGACACGCTTGAAATGTCGGGGTCAGGAACTTTCTTGCGCGCCAGTGCCGGCTGGAGAAATGCTTTTCGGGAGCCATTGCTGCCGCAGCAGTTGAAGCTAGAGCAGCAGCAGCACTTAACAACCACCACACAGCATCCCTGGCGACAACAGATGCATTGGCAATTAAAGAAACATTTGTTGGCTTTAAAAGACGGCTCCGACTGCGATTGATGGGGGTCGAAGGCAAACCTCATGTTTGTTATTTGGCAAAAGGATAAAACTGGCAGTGTACCTTAGAAATGTAGTACGAGTGATGGCAGTGTTATATTTCTGGTATACAACTTCCAATCCATTGCAAATCTTTTTCATTGGGGCTGTGTATTTTCATTTTTGTCCCTGTGAAAAGAAAAATATTTTTTTAGTCGATTCTTAATTTGTTTTAAGAACGGATATTTTTAGGCAGTGAAACATGTAAAATGTAACTCCAACTTTGACTTTGGTTTCTAAATGTACTTATCCAAACCTCTTAAAACCTATTTTCGTTTCTCTGGCTTAGATCAAGTTTGGCTGTATTTGCTAGTTTATATACCCAAACAAATATAACCAACAACTAGTCAATATAATTATTGGACCAGTTTCTTGTGTTTTTAAATAACTGAAAATCGCATGCAAATACAACAATGAAGAGGCTATATATTGTCTACATTGAATATACATACATAAAATACCTGCAACTTGAAAAAAGAGAAAGACAGGCAAGCATACAGACCGTTGCAAACTTCTGACTAAAATTGTAATACCCTTTACAGCGGTATAATAAAAACAAAAAAGGAAAGCTATCTTCGGGCGGAGCCGAAGTTAATATACCCTTGCAGAATATTCTGTAAATTATATTCTCCAAAATTATAACCCATAGAAAATCCCAACTTCCTAACTTTACAAACACCAAAGTTATGGCATTTCCGATCAATCAGTAATATGGCCGTTCCGACTTATATACTGCGTGCAAAGGAAAGAAGGGTGTGTGCAAAGTTTCAATTCGATATCTTTATAACTGAGAGACTAGTTTGCGTAGAAACAGACAGACGGACATGCATATATCAACTCAGGACGCGATAATGATCAAGAATATATATACTTTATACGGTCGGAGATGTCTCCTTCATTGCGTTGCACACTTTTGCCCAAAATTTTAATACCCTCTGCAAGGGTATAAAAATAAACCATTTGGCGAGAAAGTGGTAACTTTCATTTTTTACGGGTTTTATATTTGTCCAATCAATCCGACCTACCAAATTTCATAAGGATCGGCCGACTATATCGTATAGCTGGCATATAACTGAACGATTGGAAATGCCATAACATTGGTGTTTTCAAAGTTAGGAAGTTGAGGTTTTTTATGGGTTTTATATTTGGACAACCGATCCGATTTTGGAGAATATATTTTACAGAATATTCTGCAAGGGTATATCAACTTCGGCTCCGCAGCTTTCCTTTCTTGTTAAATATGGTTTTATACTGCGATGTCTAAAAATTTATTTTTAGTTCAAACTCATCGCTCACAAAAACAGTGCTCTACCGTTAAACATGTGCGCGCCAGAGTTCCGGGTGACGAACGTTTCCTTCGATTTCTTAAATACTTTTGCACGAGTACAATATATTATTCTTACTTTTCAAGTACCGTGTTTAACAAATCAGAAATTTGTAATATGTATGTATTTTGCCTGGCCCGCTGTGTTTCGGGGTCATTGGTAGATGATGTAGATAACTTCCTTTTTTATACCCTTGCAGATGGTATTATAGTTTTGGTCAGAAGTTTGTAACGCAGTGAAGGAGTCGTTTCCGACCCCATAAAGTATATATTTTCTTAATCAGGATCAATAGGGGAGTCGATATAGCCATGTCCGTCTGTCCATCTGTCCGTCCGTCCGTCTGTCCGTATGTACCGTTTGCCAGCTAAGTTTAAAAGCTAGCACTCTGAAACTTTCACAGTCGTCCTAAAACATGTGTACGCAGAAGTTTGAAAAGCTCCCTGATAGGACGTCTATATCCTATAGCTCCCATAGGAACAATCGGATATACCTTGCAAGAATTGAAGATATTTCGCGCAGTGTAGAAGCTATTGACATGAATCTTTCCAAATCGTATTTTTTTATGCATACCGCAGTGTGCATTTCGCGCAGTGTAGAAGCTATTGACATGAATCTTTCCAAATCGTATTTTTTTATGCATACCTTGATCAGGGTAAAAGCGCGTGACGATCGGACATCTATATCCTATAGCTCCCATAAGAACAATAGTGTGAAATCGGGTAAAATTTAATGATTTTCAGTATATTTCGCGCAGTGTATAAGCTATTGACATACATTTTTAAAAAAAGCTCTTGACGATAGGACGTCTATATCTATATTATTATATGACATTTTTGCAGTATAAAATCTATGCAAATCTAATTTATTTACATATACCTTACTATTTTCGCTACCTTTTCAATTTTAGCAATTTCGTCAAAGTCTGCAAGGGTATTAAAACTTCGGCTTGCCGAAGTTAGCTTCCGTCCTCGTTTTAGTATAAAAGATATTGTGGGAATGCATCTTGGCGTCACAGCGGATGACTCAATCAAAATTAAATTAAAAGGATTTTCTTGAAATGCTATTGCGTTGACCTGCCACTAAGTATCGGGTGGCAGACCCACAAACGCCACTTCAAGGCACCCACCATCACTCCTTCAAAAGGCTCGTCTGCCCAACCAAAGCATACAAGTATAAGGCGACATTCAGTCAGGAGTCGAGACGAGACGTGACGAGACGAGACGAGACGAGACGACGCCAGACTGGCCACTTACAAGTTCTGCACCGGAAGGGGGAAATATAAGAGTTGTCCCACTGTAAAGTTTATGCTTCACAAAATGTATCACCTTTGTGCTTTCAGATGCGAAAATTATCTTCATTAATTTACTGTGGTCGTCCTCGAAAATCAATTTTATGGCTCACTATGTCGAAATTGTTCGGAATTTTCACATGATTTTTAATTTGATTTTCGTTTCAGCAACAAAACAAAATTTTGTGTCTGCGACGGTTGCTAAATGACATTGCATACTTTATGGGGCATGTGTACTGCCCTCTTAAAGCTTTATAAAAGCTTTTTGAATGATAAAAACATTTTAGCGTTGCCCCTTTGCTTGGTTTTTATGTGCGCAGGAGTAGAAAAAACAAATAGAAATTTTAGGTCTCAAAAAATATCGATGATTGCGATACCATCGATAAATATGGCCCGACCTAGCCTAGTGACAAGTCAAGAGCCGGCAGGTTTAAGCAATATACACACATGCTGATAATAATATGTACACAATAGGCACATGTAAACATTCAAGAATTCCTTTTTCCATGTTTTTAATTTAAAATGTGTTCTTGTTACTTAAATTATCCTTTCCAATAAAATAAACGTAATTATATTATTATATTATATTAGTATTATTATGTAAACAGCCAGGAAGTGCGGCCAGGACCCCATTATCTTCGTAATGACTATTTTATTTTTGCCTGCAAGCCAAGAAAAAAATATATTGGTCAAACCTTAGGGAATATTTTTTAAGTAATCCTTGTAATGCAGACCGAAGGTATTTAAATACATTGACAAAAATAAAAAAATTATTAAATAACTAAAAGTCATGACTAGCGTGATTCTTTTATTTTGGGGCAGGTACACTCATACAATTTTTACCGTATATATTAAACAAATCTACATATATTATTGGCACATTACCGATTGCTCTTCTTTTTAGAAACAATTGTCTTAAGAAGCATTGCGGTAAATGCAAAAATATTCTGAATTGTAATGCAGAATTGTAATGCAGAATTTCTTTAATTCAGACGAACTTCTTTAAGTTTTAGGATAACTTGCCGTCGTAATCATAACTTTGTTAGATATTAATTTTTTACAGATTTTTTATTTAACTTTTGGCGGTTTTTCTTTTTCCCTTGCAAAGGGAATTCTAATTTATTTTCGCTAGGGCTTGACGAACAATCATCCAGACTTAATTTCGATGCGATGTTATTATACCCTTGCAGAGAGTATTATAATTTCAGTCAAAAGTTTGCAACGCAGTGAAGGAGAGATTATTTACATATTTGACAAAATCGGACAACAATATCATACAGCTACCATAGAAACGATAGGAAAATGCAGAGCAAACTCGACATAGCTTCATTGATTGTAGTAGTAATATGCTTAACAAGAAAGGAAAGGACCCTTGCAGAATATTCTGTAAATTATATTCTCCAAAATTATTCATATGATGCATTCTTAATACTCATAAAAAGTCACAACTTCCTAACTTTAAAAACACCAAAGTTATGGCATTTCCAATCGTTCAGTTATATGGCAGCTAAAAGATATAGACGGCCGATCCTTATGTAATTTTGTAGGTCGGATTGATTGGCCAAAAATAAAACCCATAGAAAATCCCAACTTCCTAATTTTAAAAACACCAAAGTTATGGCTTTTCCGGTCGTTCAGTTATATGGCAGCTACATGATATAGTCGCCCGATCCGGCTCGTTCCGTCCGTTATATACTACCTGCAATAGAAAGACAACTTTTGGGAAAGTTTCAAGCTTTTAAACTGAGGGACTAGTTTGCGTAGAAACGGACGGACGGACAGACTAACATGGCTAGATCGACTCTCCTGGTGATGCTGATCAAGAATATATATACTTTATAGGGTCGGAAATGTCTCCTTTACTGCGTTGCAAACTTTTGACTGAAATTATTATACCCTCTGCAAGGGTATAAAAATCGGAATGTAGTTTTGTAATAACTGCAAGGGTATATAAACTTCGGCTTGCCAAAGTTTGCTTCCTTTCTTGTATTCTGTTATTTTTTCGTCGATCTGAGTACCGGTGTGAAAAAAGAGCATGGGGAAAGTATTCGCCAGCTGTTTGTCTCTCGCTCTCTCTCTGTCATAGCTGACGAACAGATTTCGTCGATCTAAGTACTAGGCTGGAATTAAAAATATTTTGCTTATACTGTGTTTAAGCACGAATGTCCTCAGTTATAGCACAATGTTTTTGATTTTTTCACTCTGGGAACCAGTACTAGTTCAGCCAATCTAGCGTGCAATATACTGATCGATTTTAACACTTCTCTAATTGAAGATGATTGATAATTGTTTGGATAAAAAAGACAGCTGTATTTCGTACGAATTTTCTCAAACTTTTTTGAAAACCATCTTTTTTTTAAAACATGAGCACTTTCCCTGTAGAGAACTACATATTATTTTAATTTGTATTGGAAGTAAATATGATTTTACTTTATGGAACATGAACTTACTGACTATACTCTCTGCAAGGGTATATCAACAAATATAGTTAGTAGTATAAATAAGCAGTATATAACATAACATAGCAGAAACAACAAAGGCAGTACCAGTACCTAAAGTTAGCAGTCAACAACAACCAAAAGAAACGGCGGAAAAGCTGTCTCGGTTGGCTTGCAGACCGTGAAAAGCCACGAGCCACGATTGAAATACCGAATTTCATACCAAAAGCATATGAATACCGATTGTTCATATCAAGAGCTATCAAGCGCATTTCTACCAAAAAATTGTTGTACATATACATATGTATGTATATACATAATCATGCGCTCAAATCACACTTACCTACAGGCATACAAATGTTTGCTTCCAGTTTCTTATATGCAATGACCGCGCACCTCATATGGCGAAAGAAAAAATACTATTATTTTAAAAATTTATATAGAAATTTGTATTAGGGTTTACATTTTCATTTTTATTCTAAATTGTTTTTAAACTTAAAAGCCAATAATATTTACCACTGTTATATAATTATACATTTGGATTTAAAATGTTCATTTGATTAACAACTTACGAGATCATTGAACTTTTTACGGGAGTGTTCATGCCAGCTTTGTTAATATCGCGCATTTTAACAACATTACATATAAGAAGAAATTAACAAGGAACACAATCGGAGGGTAGGTTTTTTGTTTCCAGCAATGCAACCACTATAGCCCGGTCTAACAGGTGTTCCATGTATGTACGTATAAAGCGCGGGCATCGTCAGTGTCAATAAGTTTTCTTGGATCAGAAAAAGGCAAGGGATGAGTGGTACCCATAAATATACATACATATGTACAAAAATATGCTCACTAGGAAATTCTAAAAAACGGTTTTCTGATCATAACAGCTGTAATTTTCAGATACTTTTTCAAATACACAACTTTTTTATAGGGAAAAATACTATACACTATTATAAAAGGATCTATAATTAAAGTATTATTAAAGTATCAAAGTATTTATTAAATTGTATATATAACCATATCACATACCTTTTTTTAGTTTTCCAAGTTTCTAGTTTCATACACCAACAGCAGCAAGCTCTAGATTTTAAGACGGTTGAGTGATCTTTCCCCTCCCTTCCATGTAGTTTGCAACGGTAGTCGAAGATTGCTTGGCACGCGTCGTTTTCGCTTTAATGGCTGTATGGCAGCAACCTGCGATAAGTCGACTTTTAGTGATGCCAACTACGGGGTTCCCGAACCTTAGAAAGATTTGTTAAGAAATGGTAAATTCGTTAACATCAAACATTTTTTCTACTATATACCGTATAATAATAATAATGTACATGAACTGCTTAACAATTATGATGCCTTTAAAAGTTTTTAAATATAATTTAAATAGTTTTTGACAAAACTAAAGCGTATTTATTTTATAGTAAATAATTACTATATCTTAAAGGAATATTTTAATAATAATTTATTTAAAACCGTAACTCCATAGTATTTAAATATTACCAAATCCAAATGAACCAAGAAAAAAACAAGACAGGAAAGCTAACTTCGGGCGGAGCCGAAGTTGATATACCCTTGCAGAATATTCTGTAAATTATATTTTCCAAAATTATTCATATGATGCATTCTTAATACTCATAAAAAATCCCAACTTCTTAACTTTAAAAACACCAAAGTTATGGCATTTCCAATCGTTCAGTTATATGGCAGCTATAGGATATAGTCGGCCGATCCCGGCCGTTCCGACTTATCTACTGCGTGTAAAAGAACGAAGGACGTGTGCAAAGTTTCAATTCGATATCTTTAAAACTGAGAGACAAGTTCGAGTAGAAACAAACAGACAGACGGACATGCTTATATCAACTCAGAACGCGATTCTGATCAAGAATATATATAGTTTATAGGGTCGCTGTGTTGCACACTTTTGACCAAAATTATAATACCCTCTGCAAGGGTATAATGAAAAACCACAAAGTTATACTTTTTTTAATTTTTGTTTTCCGATTGTTCCCATAGGAGCTATATGATATAGTCACCCGATTTGCCCCTAAAGGACAACTTTTGGGAAAGTTTCAAGCAAATAGCTTTAAAACTGAGGGACTAGTTTGCGTAGAAACGGACAGACGGGCGGACAGACGGTCGGACAGACGGTCGGACGGTCATGCCTAGATCGACTCTCCTGGTGATGCTGATGCTAGGATCGGAAATGTATAATTTTCATAATATTGCATTTTTTGTTATAGCTGCCTGGCTATAGAAATATCGGTTTTGGTAAGACTGCAAGAGTATTAAAATAAGTCAGAAAGCAGAAAGTCCGACGAAAATTCACTCTTTTCTTAAATAATGTGTTTTATAAATATGAAATCGTTAATCGAAACAGTAGATTTGGTTTGATTCACTGCATAAAACATTTAATATTTTAAGGAATTGCGACTGTACTTCTAGTAACGACAATTTTTATATGTTTTCACAACAAAGGTACATACATGCAAACATATGTATGTAGACTGTTTTTTGTACATAGGTATTTTGTCGCTCTTGTCAACCTGTAGAATGCAGGTCACTCAATGTTAAAACATTTTGATGGAGGAAGTAAAAAGGGGGTTGATTATTCACGTGAACTCTCTTGAAAATGTTATACACAATCCTAAAAATAACCATATAGTCGAGTTTTCTGTCGTGAATATAAAAAATATTTATAATCCAGAAGTCCTAGGGATTAAATCAAAGGGGAACGCTTTATTCACAGCAAACTTTCTATAACCCAAGTGGTTTTTGTGGCATATGTTCTTTAATAATCGGAAACATAGCCTTTTCCCAGAAAGATATTTTGGGCATATTTCATAAGCATTACTTTTCAGAAATCTAATAAAATAAAAAAATATAAAACTAGTTAAAAATTGTTTCTCTGGCTTAGCTTGCGTTTTGATAATATATATACAATTTGATTTGTAACAGCTTTCTTAATTAACAAGAAAGAAAGCTAACTTCGGGCGGAGCCGAAGTTGATATACCCTTGCAGAATATTCTGTAAATTATATTCTCTAAAATCGGATCGGTTATTCATATGATGCATTCTTAATACTCATAAAAAAATCCTAACTTTAAAAACACCAAAGTATGTCATTTCCAATCGTTCAGTTATATGGCAGCTATAGGATATAGTCGGCCGATCCTGTTTGCTTTTCTTGTTTTTAATAAAATAAACATTTTAAGAGCGCTATTAAACACAAAAACAAAATTTGTAATATTATTTTTTTTATATACAAATTTCTTTTTTGTTACAAAACTAAGCGCATTGGTCAAATTGGGCAAATCCATAAGTCTTATTTCGTGGAAAGCTAATTAGAAGTTTTAAACGGTACAAAGCGTTGTGGTTATATGTTTAATTCTTACTTTTTATACCCTTGCAGAGGGTAATTTCAGTCAAAAGTTTGCAACGTAAATATATTCTTGATCAGCATCACCAGGAGAGTCGATCTAGCCATGTCCGTCTGTCCGTCCGTCTGTCCGTCCTCCCGTTTCTACGCAAACTTGTCCCTCAGTTTTAAAGCTATCTGCTTGAAACTCTCCCAAGTTGTCTTTCTATTGCAGGTAGTATATAAGTCGGAACGAGCCGGATCGGGCGACTATATCATCTAACTGCCATATAACTGAACGATAGGAAATGCCATAACTTTGGTGTTTTTAAAGTTAGGAAGTTGGTATTTTCTATGGGTTTTATTTTTGGCCAATCAATATAATTTACAGAATATTCTGCAAGGGTATATCAACTTCGGCTCCGCCCGAAGTTAGCTTTCCTTTCTTGTTTTGTACTATATCAGAATAACGCTGTAAGTTTTGTCAAAATCGGACAACAATATCAAATAGCTGCCCTAGAAACGATCGCAAACTGCAGCGTAAAATTGACATAGATTTATTGTTTTTAGTATATAAGCATAGAAATCGAAATGTTGGTAATACTGCAAGGGTACATAAACTTCGGCTTGCCGAAGTTTGCTTCCTTTCTTGTTAAAAATGATAATGAATAGTTACTAAAACAATGACATTGCTAGCTATTCGGTAATATACCTTTCGTTCAGTAGAATAAATGTTTTTCATTTCCAGCACGAAAATAAATGACTTTAAATTTAGTAAACTGACTTTTTTTAATGGTTGCGGAAGCTTAACCATTTTTAATGGTATCCTCTACGTTAACATTTTACATAAGAGTAAAAAATCGCATACTCCTATCAAACCTTAGCATTTTATTTTAGTACTGTGGTAGAATTGATCTCCAAAGGTATTCCTGTTTTAACATGCAAATCAAGTTTTTCTTTGTATTATATGCTGACATTTGTATTTGGAGAAAGGTTTTGTCGATGTTTGAGTAGTTTTTTTTACTCAAGCATTACACTGCATGTGCGTTAATAAATACATTGGCACACACATATGTTTATAGCCAAGCATAAATTACTTCAAAAAAATACTAAAATACTCTAACACGTTGAGCATAAAGACCGTACAAAACAAAAACGGGAATATTCGATCACTCTTACTCCTTCGCTCTCGATGTGTCATGCCTTTTTTGTCTCTATCACTCGTTCTGTGCGGTGATCATATTTCAAGCCCAGCTTTTGCGTTCGGCCAACTCGCTATGTCTCCCTATTAGTCGACAGCCAGTTTGAGAGCAAATGAAACCGACCAACCGTAAAGCCGTCTTGGGCCAAGTTTTGAGCGCGACTCAACGAATACATAAGCCACTAAAAAACGCACTCATGAAAGTGGTCGCTTGAGTTTGAGCGATGTAAGAACGGCTTCCGCCGTCCATTGCCATTCAACAATTTAGTTTCGCTCGAGATCTCTTGGCGTACGTTTCAAGATCCACCTGAAACTCGCGTTGTATCTTGAACCAATAGCCAACAGGTGGTACGCGCTGTCTTTTATACCTGTCAAGTATCGTATTGATTAGAAGTGGCTAAAATGTATAATTAAAGTGAAACTGTGAATGTAGCTATAAAATCTAGCAATGTGATTATGAATTCGTTTTAAAAATTTTTGAGAACTTAAAAAGTGTTGTTTTATGTATGACATTTTTAGACTGGATACAAAAAAAGTTGATATAGTAAGTAAAATGCAAGTAAAGACATTACTAAATAAGTAAAATATAAATTTAAATAAATCAACAAACCAGCTTTTCGATATTTGCTCTCAACCGTTCTCATGGCTAATATGCCGAGCCGTACATCTTACATTTCCCCACGCTCCTGACCTTGAGCTGCTTATTTTCTCTGTTTTCATAGACTGCCTTAGCTAAGTTTTCTGGCTGGCACTGGCCATTATTTGGCTGGAGTGTGTGAAAATGCGCTTATTTTTCCCACTTTTAATTTTTTTGAATTGAATGTAGTTTGGGTAGTATAGCCTGTGTTGGTATTGAAAAGAACAAAGTGTAGAAACCCCAATGACCTCGTAGCAGGACCGCCGCGTCCGACCGTGACTTTTGAATTATTTTACCAATGATATCGCAAGTATACGTACTTGGAACTGAGAAGTAAAGATCGACGTATTTAAAAATAAAGGAACTTTTTTCGCTGTATTTTTGCAATAGACTTTCCATAAGAAGATTTTAATTGTATAATGTAATTATATATATCGTAATTGATCATTCGAATATATTATAATTGGAAGATAAATATGTACATGTTTGAAAATAGTTTTTATTTTTATCTATTAAAAACGGAATATATGTGTAAGAAGTCAGGCATATTTTGTGTTTATTTGTATTTTTTCAATTTTTCTTATTTTTTCCCAGAACCTAAATTATATATATATCAAATGAGTTTAAAAGGTTTTACAATATTGGTATCAAGCCAGAATCTGCATATTGTCAGAGTCGTTCATTGCGATAGTAGCATAGAAAGCAAATAATCAAAACCTAAAAATAATACAAATTTTAAAATAAATTGTTTGTTTAATCCATAATTTGTGACTTAAGGATGAAGCCCTCTTTCTTTTACAATGGGATTAAAATACTTGTAAGGATACCATAAATGAAATATTACTTCGATCATTATGTTTTCATAACTAAAGGCAAGAGCGGCAGTTACAAAAATTTGTATCTTTAAGAAATAAAACTAAAAGAAAAACAGATGGCATAGACGAACTTGGCGTTAGCATACACTATGCTCTCTCTACCCTCGGCTGTCTCGATCCTCCAACTACAATGACCCTTAGGGGAGTGATGGTCTTAAAAAGGTCAATTAACAACAGGTGAATGAGTGCTAGCAAACACGTTTGCGCGGGTTCAGCCTTCACTTGGCGGGTAGCCAGAACACCTTGCAGGGCAGGGGAACTGGCGCCGACGACGTGCCACAATTAAATGAGCGGGAAAAGCAAGAGCCTTCTGTCACGCATACTAAGGTCCTAAATAAATGTATGAATGTCTATGTATAAAAAAATTGAATTCATGTCTAAAAGCTTCCAGTGTTTAGACTATATTTAAAATTTTACAAGTACCAAGTTACTCCTTCAGCTTAATTGAGGTTGAAGACAATTCTTCCTTCTCAAAACTAGAAAATCAGTCATTGAATCAAGAAATATTTTTTTTTGGGAAACCGCCTTTAAAATAAGAATTACTATTTCTTTAAAACAAAAAACTTAATTTCTAATTAGAAAGGAAGCAAACGTTTATATTGCAGTTATCACAATGAAGCTATGTCGATATTTGCCATCGTTTTTATGACAGCTATATGATAATGTTGTCCGATTTTGACAAATCTAAAAGCGTAGTTTTTATATGGTAAATAATTACTATATCTTAAAGGAATATTTTGATAAAAAGAAAAATAATTTTTATACCATGTTATACCAATTAGCCATGTCCGTCTGTCCGTCTGTCTGTTTCTACGCAAACTAGTCTCTCAGTTTTAAAGCTATCGAGTTCAAACTTTGCACACACCCTTCTTTCCTTTGCACGCAGTATATATGTCAGAACGGCCGGGATCGGCCGACTATATCCTATAGCTGCCATATAACTGATTGATCGGAAATGCCATAACTTTGGTGTTTGTAAAGTTAGGAAGCTGGGATTTCCTATGGGTTTTATATTTGGCCAATCAGTCCGACCTACCAAATTTCATAAGGATCGGCCGACTATATCCTATAGCTGCCATATAACTGAACGATCGGAAATGCCATAACTTTGGTGTTCTTAAAGTTAGGAATTTGGGATATTTTATAAGTATTAAGAATGCATCATATGAATAATTTTGGAGAATATAATATACAGGGTATATCAACTTCGGCTCCGCCCGAAGTTAGCTTTCCTTTCTTGTTATACCCTTGCAGAGGGTATTATAATTTTGGTCAAAAGTGTGCAACGCAGTGAAGGAGACATCTCCGACCCTATAAAGTATATATATTCTTGATCAGGATCACCTCCTGAGTTGATATAGCCATGTCCGTCTGTCCGTCTGTCCGTCTGTCTGTCCGTCTGTCTGTCCGTCTGTCTGTTTCTACGCGAACTAGTCTCTCAGTTTTAAAGATATCGAATTGAAACTTTGCACACACCCTTCTTTCCTTTGCACGCAGTATATAAGTCGGAACGGCCGGGATCGGCCGACTATATCCTATAGCTGCCATATAACTGATTGATCGGAAATGCCATAACTTTGGTGTTTGTAAAGTTAGGAAGCTGGGATTTTCTATGGGTTTTATTTTTGGCCAATCAATCCGAACTACCAAATTTCATAAGGATCGGCCGACTATATCCTATAGCTGCCATATAACTGAACGATTGGAAATGCCGTTTCTACGCAAACTAGTCCCTCAGTTTGAAAGCTATCTGCTTGAAACTTTCCCAAAAGTTATCTTTCTATTGCAGGTAGTATATAATTCGGAACGCGCCAGATCGGGCGACTATATCATATAGCTCCAATAGGAAAAAAATATTCAAAATATCATAACTTTTTTGTTTTTAACTTTTTTTTTGTTCTCTGGGATTTGGTAATATGTCAATTAAATTAAAATCAGACAACAATATCATATAGCTGCCATAGAAAGGATGGCAAAATGCAGCACAGCTTCATTGTTAGTAATATAGGCATAGAAATCGAAATGTAGTCGATTTGTAATAACTGCAAGGGTATATAAGCTTCGGCTTGCCGAAGTTTGCTTCCTTCCTTGTTATTTTATGAAAATCGACATAGCTTCATAGTTGTTAGTCATAAGGCTTAAAATCGAAAAATGTAATATTTTAATTATCTATCAGCTGCAAGGGCATATACACTTTGACTTGCCAAAGTTTGCTTCTTTGCTTAAGTTGCTTCAATACTCCAGAATCATTTATATTTTTTTAGGAACTGATGCTCATAATGGATATGCAGACATCGCCAATTCTTAGCCATGGGCTCGGGACACTCTCACATCAGGTTCAACACCGTATTATACATCAGCCGCAGATTCTTCACAGTACCCAAGAACAGACACTGAATACAAGCACAGGACAGCATGAGCACGACCACCAGCATTTGCAACACCATCACATTTCACATCAACAACATCAGGCCGTTTCACCGACATTACACACTATGCAGAGCACTTCGACAGGTGATAGCCTGACCATTGCTATCAACCCCAATCAAAATCAGCATGATCATCAACGTCATGCCGGAAGTAACGTGTATACCTCACCACATATGGAAAATAAGTTAAAAGGTAATCACAAAGCTAATCAGTCGTATTACGGGTAGCAGGTCTATATTATAGTGAAATTGAAAGTTAGATAGTGCAAATTAAAAACATAATAATAATAATAGAAAAACCTAACTTAAAAATTACTTTTCTAGGAAATGACAGATAAAAAAGTCGATTAATACACTCACGTTTGCATTAACATGTACGAGGAGTTGAACAAAAGATTACATTTTCATTCTATTTACATTTCTAGTCGAAAAATGTTGACCGCCAAAGGAAAGGATGTTAATCCAAGTTGCAAACGTCTTAAACTAGAGAACAATAGCATTTAGTGGCATAAGAGATGGGGGATAAAATAACAAGCTCACAAGAGCAATGCACTTGGGACGCGAAACCTTTTATTTCCCCTCCCCAAGATTTCAGTGCAACCAGTAGTCGCAAAAGCCGATTCTTCTTGGATTCATGTTCGAGTTGAATGAATGCTTTGGAGACCAGAAATTAAATGAAAAGGTGTTTCCTTCAAGTCACGGAATTTTTGGTATAAGGAAATTTCACATGTCCCGACGTTGGAATGTTCCACGATTTCCATTCGCGAATGTTTATATAAGAATCATATTAGTATATTGGCGGTTCATACACTGTAAAAAATCTATATTTGAGTGATTAATTTACATAATTACGTGAAAATTCCACACATATCTACACACACACACAATAATTCAAATGGAAATGTTTTTTGTTTAAATAAGATAATTTCATATGCGTTTACAAAATTAACAATTAATTAGTTTACTCAATAACTTCAAAAATTAATTTATTGAACACAAAAAATATATTGATAAAAATTAACTGAACTCGATTTTCAATTATTTAAAATATTAAAACTTTTTTCTAAAATTGTTATAAAGTAAATCGTAACACTTGCTTATAAAATTTATTTGACAATTTACTCCAGAGATGACATCATCATTTTGTACGGGCAATTTTTGTTTAACTGTAAGCTACGATTTTTCCTGTTTTTGTCCAATTTTACCCGTTACTCGTAGAGTAAAAGGGTATATTGTATTCGTGCAAAAGTATGTAACAGGTAGAAGGAAGCGTTTCCGACCCTATAAAGTATATATATTCTTGTTCAGGATCACTAGCCGAGTCGATTTAGCCATGTCCGTTGGCCGTCTGTCTGTCCGTCCGTATGAACGCTGAGATCTCGGAAACTATAAAAGCTAGAAGATTGGCATGTTGCATGTAGATTTTAGGAGTTCCTACGCAGCGCAAGTTTGTTTCAAAATGGTGCCACGCCCCCTCTGACGCCCACAAGCCACAAGCTGTGGCCACAGTTTTGATGCTATTATGAAAATTAATTGATATGTATTTGTTTCGTCAATACCTATCGATTGGCCGAATAAAAGTTTGCCACCCCCACTCTAACGCCCAAAAACCCATTAAACGCTTAAGCCTGGCTAGCGCCTACATTTCCGCCTTTCATGGCGCCATGATGACTTTGGAACAGCTGGCCAAGGTGCTCAACAGAGTCAACTTTAATTCTCCATAAGGATTTCTATTAAAGGAAATTTCAATGGTTTTCATTTGTCAATACCGAACTACATATATCCCATGAACTATGCAAATCAAATATAGTTAGCCAAATTGGAGGTCTGAGTCAAACAATGGCGTATGTGTGTATGTACGTAAGCATATACATATGTATGTATTTACATTGTACACAGTTGCAATTGCCCGGCAAAGATAACTCTTTTCAAAGAAAGCTATTCGCTATACCCGTTACTCGTGTTGCGCAAACATTTAGACTTTAATATACATAATACAATTTAAGTATGTATGTGTTTAGCCAATATAAGTATGTATGTTTAATATTTCTAGTCAATTTATTGCACTCAAAAACATAAACATAAACACAGCTGCTGGTGCAGGACAAAAGCTGCCTGCGCTAAAGCAGCGCTGGTGCTGATGCTCGTGCTGTAAAGCTGCCAGCACTAAGAGATCGCCGAATTCAAATTGATAATTTGAACTTTTTGTCCTTTTTCCCTGTGGTCACTATAATTCACATTATGTTAAAAAAAACAACAAAAAAAACACAGGAAGGCATATTTATATTAAGTTGTTTAGCTGAGAAATGGGTATCTATGTAATAGTCGAGGCACTCGACTATAGCGTTCTCTCTTGTTTATTTTTATACCCTTGCAGAGGGTATTATAATTTTGGTCAGAAGTTTGTAACGCAGTGAAGGAGACGTTTCCGACCCCATAAAGTATATATATTTTTGATCAGGATCAATAGGGGAGTCGATATACCCATGACCGTCAGTCCGCCCGTCCGTCTGTCCGTCTGTTTTAATACCGCGTTTCAACACTAGCGATCTGAAACTTTTACTGTCGTCCTAAAACAAGAGTACGCAGATCAAGTTTGAAAACCGTCCCGATCGGATGTCTATATCCTATTGCTCCCATAGGAACAATCGGATATAACTTGCAAGAATAGAAGATATTTCGCGCAGTGTAAAAGCTATTGACATAAATCTTTCCAAATCCTATTTTTTTATGCATACCTTGATCAGGGTAAAAGCGCGTGACGATCGGCCGACTATATCCTATAGCTGCCATATAACTGATTGATCGGAAATGCCATAACTTTGGTGTTTGTGAAGTTAGGAAGTTGGGATTTTCTATAGGTTTTATATTTGGCCTATCAGTCCGTCAGTCCGCCCGTCCGTCTGTCCGTCTGTTTTAATACCGCGTTTCAACACTAGCGATCTGAAACATTTACTGTCGTCCTAAAACAAGAGTACGCAGATCAAGTTTGAAAACCGTCCCGATCGGATGTCTATATCCTATTGCTCCCATAGGAACAATCGGATATAACTTGCAAGAATAGAAGATATTTCGCGCAGTGTAAAAGCTATTGACATAAATCTTTCCAAATCCTATTTTTTTATGCATACCTTGATCAGGGTAAAAGCGCGTGACGATCGGCCGACTATATCCTATAGCTGCCATATAACTGATTGATCGGAAATGCCATAACTTTGGTGTTTGTGAAGTTAGGAAGTTGGGATTTTCTATAGGTTTTATATTTGGCCTATCAATCCGACCTACCAAATTTCATAAGGATCGGCCGACTATATCCTATAGCCGCCATATAACTGATTGATCGGAAATGCCACAACTTTGGTTTTTGTTAAGTTAGGAAGTTGGAATTTTCTATGGGTTCTATTTTTAACCAATTAATCTAACCTATCAAATTTCATAAGGATCGGCCGACTATATCCTATAGTTGCCATATAACTGAACGATTGGAAATGCCATAACTTTGGTGTTTTTAAAGTTAAGAAGTTGGGATTTTTTATGAGTATTAAGATTGCATCATATGAATAATTTTGGAGAATATAATTTACAGAATATTCTGCAAGGGTATATCAACTTCGGCTCCGCCCGAAGTTAGCTTTTCTTTCTTGTTTTTTTCTATTTTTATATGACATTTTTGCAGTATAAAAGGAATTGACATGAAACGATGCAAATCCAGTTTACTTATGTATACCTTATTCCTTTCGCTATTTTTTTAGTTTTAGCAATTTCGGCAAAGTCTGCAAGGGTATTAAAACTTCGGCTTGCCGAAGTTAGCTTCCGTCCTCGTTTAACTCAAGTTCTGATAAAACGATTTAGTCACTTTGCTGGAAATAGTACCTTTTTGACCTTCCTGTAGTTCTTTATTATAGATGCCAGCTTTATACAAAATTTGAACAATTTGAAAAAATTCATGAGCTGCCCCATAAAAGTCGCTTTAAATATAAAAAACCAAAATTAGGTTGAACGCTCATAATCGGAAATGGAACTACCAAATTTTCAATCTCAACCATACGCCGGTAAATCGATATTTTTGTACATATCGATCGGCTATTTAAACTAAAAGAAAATAACAACTTTGTGTTAAGAAAAACATCGATCAGATATACAGCAACAAAACATAAAAAAGGAATTGATTGGCATGTCTGGTCAAAACGTCCCGGATCGGTAAGATTATTCCAAAATTGTTACTATGACAGCAATATAATGCAGTAGATTAAGGGGTTATCCGGGTCTTGACACTTCAAAAAATTCATTTTTTTCAAACTTTTTTATATAATAATACAAAGTTTCCGGAATGTTGTCTGAAAATTTCAAGTCGATCGAAGCAAAACTGTAGGAATGGGAGAAATTTAAGGCCCAGCGCGTCGAACGTCACAGCGGGCCATTCGGGCTCTGGCGTCGGACAGATGCGGCACTTTAAACGCGTTTTTCTCAAAACCACTTTTTTGAAGTCGGTAGTCACGATTTCTTAAAAACTATTGCACCGATCAACTTCTGCTTTTGCACACTTCTTTTAGACATAATTCTCTTGTCCTTAACGGAGGGATTTTTAAATTTTTAATTACAACTCATTTTATAAGCCAAAATATTGCCAAAATTTACGTAAAAAATGACACTTTTTATGAAAAGCGCTACAAAAAATTCAATTTTTAATTTAAAAAAAAAATGGCTCGTAGAGGACAAGCGAGACACATACACTATCAGAATAATTTTGGTTTTTTGATTTCAGACAAAAATTGGCGGAGATATTTTGCCTACCGAAAGGACACAATTTTGTATGAGGTCAAGTTCAAGCCTGCCTCAACGGCTCAATTTTAAAAATATTTGGTTCAAATTTTTACACAATGTTGGTCAAACCATAAACATTAATGTACAATAAATGAAATTTGTGAAATTGTCATAAGATCTTTAAAAAAAATTCACGAAAATAGGCTTTTTTCGTGCTCCAAGACCCGGATAACCCCTTAACCCATGGCGCTATAATACTCGATAAAAAACAAGAAAGGAAAGCTAACTTCGGGCGGAGCCGAAGTTGATATACCCTTGCAGAATATTCTGTAAATTATATTCTCCAAAATTATTCATATGATGCATTCTTAATAGTCATAAAAAATCCCAACTTCCTAATTTTAAAAACACTATAGTTATGAAATTTCCTATCGTTCAGTTATATGGCAGCTGTAGGATATAGTCGGCCGATCCTTATGAAATTTGGTAGGTCGGATTGATTGGCCAAATATTAAACCAATAGAGAATCCCAACTCCCTAGTTTAACAAACACCAAAGTTATGGCATTTCCGATCAATCAGTTATATGGCAGCTATAGGATATAGTCGGCCGATCCTTATGAAATTTGGTATGTCGGATTGTTTGGCCATATATAAAACCCATAGTAAATCCCAACTTCCTAACTTTACAAACACCAAAGTAATGGCATTTCCGATCAATCAGTTATATGGCAGCTATAGGATATAGTCGGCCGATCCCGGCCGTTCCGACTTATTTGCTGCGTGCAAAGGAAAGAAGGGTGTGTGCAAAGTTTCAATTCGATATCTTTAAAACTGAGAGACTAGTTCGCGTAGAAACAGACAGACGGACAGACAGACGGACAGACGGACGGACGGACAGACGGACAGACGGACATGCTTATATCAACTCAGGAGGTGATCCTGATCAAGAATATATATACTTTATAGGGTCGGAAACGCTTCCTTCTACCTGTTTTATACTTTTGCACGAATACAATATACCCTTTTACTCTACGAGTAACGGGTATAAACACCAAAGTTATGACATTTCCAATCGTTCAGTTATAAGGCAGCTATAAGATATAGTCGGCCGATCCTTATGAAATTTGGTAGGTCGGATTGATTGGCCAAAAATAAAACCCATAGAAAATCCCAACTTCCTAACTTTAAAAAATACGGCAGCTATAAGATATAGTCGCCCGATCCGGCTTGTTCCGACTTATAGACTACCTGCAATAGAAAGACAACTTTTGGGAAAGTTTCAAGCAGATAGCTTTAAAACTGAGAGACTAGTTTGCGTAGAAACGGACGGACGGACAGACGGACAGACGGACATGGCTAGATCGACTCTGATGCTGATCAAGAATATATATACTTTATAGGGTCGGAAATGTCTCCTTCACTGCGTTGCAAACTTTTGACTGAAATTATAATACCCTCTGCAAGGGTATAAAAATGAAAGATCCTTGCTCAGATTTCTGGTAAGTCGGGCCCAGCCGACCACAAGTTGCGATCACATGTAGATCGATCTTTGAAGATCTAGTAAAGTAAAATATCGGAATATATACATTTGGAAAATTTAGTTTTTATAAAATTAAACCTTTCCATCCCAATTTATATGGAGTTTGGATTGGAATTTCTTTGTAAACTATCGGATTGAATTACTGAAATGAAGTAGCTTATTGTTTAATGAGTAAAGAGGGCGATGCATGAGTAAAAATTAAATAATTTAATTCTCTTCCCATAATTTAACTATAGCAAACAAGTTTGACGAATACTCGAACAGGATATTGGGCAATATTTCAGACACCACTACGCCGCCATCTGCTAACAACTTTTTGTCACAAGCCCAAGGAGTAGAATGGATGACAGCCATAAACGATGGGCAAAACGGGGCAGGTACCACATCTATATACCTACTTACATAAAGCCTATATTTAAATGCAAAATATTATCAATTTATCTTTTTAGAAGACTCGCATAGTTCGCAAGGCAGTATTTCTGGCGATGGTAAGTGGAGTATTCTAAAGCTGCAATTCACTTTTTTTTAGTAACAAGTACCGTGGGATTGAGTATTACACTTACTGTCCACACTGATTTTAGCTTTGGAAATATTCTCTCACAATGATAAGTGACCGCCATCCGATCAATTTTCTGTGGCTTTGTAAGAATTGTCTCAAGTAACTTGGTGCCTAATTGAAAAAATGTACTTTAACCACAAAGCTGTTTCCTGGCTATGGCAGAGTTCTTTTCGTTTCTTTCATTTATTTGGTTTGGTCAATGCAGATGGTCATTGGAGACTAGACGCTGCCCTCACTCAGGTGACGATCGACAACCTCAAGTTCTGATTCACATTTAGATTAAGGCACCTTCCTACAGAATACGGTGTACATTTCAACATACACATTATCAGACTGTGTAAAAAAATGTCGGGATAGCAACTCAGTTTCGATTTCGTAACCACAAGTATAAGGGAATACAAATCACTTAGTCAATACTACTTAAGTAAAATATACACCGAAGCCACAAATCAAATCACTTTCTGGTAACTTAGGTATTATTTCCGGTTTTTTTCAGGTGATTTCCGGAGCATGATAATTCTTAATTTTCTGCAAGTCCAAAATTCTGATACGAAGAATTTTAAATCTTATTTCTTATATTTAAACATAATAATTTGACCTATGATAATGTATATTAAGAACCCGCATACTTTAAAGTGCTGGAGCAATTACAGCTTGGAAGATAAAACTCTTTTTCGGACACCCAATTATTTAGGAAGTGTTACTTAATAAGCTACACCAATTTCCGAATCCTTAACATTTGTAATCAAAACAAGGCTGTATTTATGAATCAAATAATAAATCTAATTATAACTAAGCAATTCCCAAAACATAAGTTAACATCCATTTGTCACAATGAATGCATCGAGGAGGGTGTCTTTGGAGCAACAAATAGATATATGTATAAAGGATCCATTACAGCAGTTGATTACACAGTTGGGAATTAAAGGTGACTCAATCTCATAGAAGCTGTGCTTTCTCAGAAAAGTAACAGCTGTGCCTACTATTAAAAATTCGAATGCTACCAACTCTTTTTTATACCCTTGCAGAGGGTATTATAATTTTGGTCAAATGTGTGCAACACAGCGACCCTATAATCTATATATATCGCGTTCTGAGTTGATATAAGCATGTCCGTCTGTCTGTCTGTTTCTACGCGAACTAGTCTCTCAGTTTTAAAGATATCGAATTGAAACTTTGCACACACCCTTTGTTCCTTTGCACGCAATATATAAGGCCGGGATCGGCCGACTATATCCTATAGCCGCCATATAACTGATTGATCGGAAATGCCATAGCTTTGGTCTTTGTAAAGTTAGGAAGTTGGAATTTTCTATGGGTTTTACTTTGGACAATCAATCCGACCTACCAAATTTTATTTATTTATTTTTTGATCATTAGTTGAGTTATTAATTCAATGTTTTAGTCATTCAAAACAAATAGTCACATGATTAGCAAAACAAAATTACTATATTAACAGATATCTCGTGGATTTACACATCTAAGTTATAATTTATTTAAAATTTCAATTTATTTTTTCGATTGTGTCTATTGAAGCTATAAATCGTCTGACTTATATAAAAATAACCTTATAAGAAAGTTTCATCCTGATATCTTTAGAACTTAGACACTAGTTTGCGTAGATACGGACAAAATTACGGACGGATCAAGAATATATATGCTGTATGGGTCGGAGATGTCTCCTTCACTGCGTTGCAAAATTTTGACTGAAATTATAATAACCTCTGCAAGGGTATAAAAAGTTTTGAAAAGCTGAAGAATCCATTTGTGTGTTGTTTTGGACTTTGTTCTACTTTGAGCTCGTTCAGAGTTTTTGTTGCAGATGTACAGTGGACCAAAAAAGTTTAAGAATTCTTTATTTCACCTCCAGTTCCACAATTATAAAATGATCTTTGCAGCAGATTGGCAAAAGTATTGAATTCATACGTTATGGAGAATATTAGATTTAATTTTTCTGAACATGAACACATTTATTAAATTCCAATGAAAGTACCGACGTGCTAGTGCGAAGCAACGGCCGCCGAATCAATCAAGTGTGTGAAAGAGATGTCGGAATACGCAGGGGCAATACTTGAGTGGTAGGCAGGAAGGTGTGCTGTGATTGGTGCCGCTGCACACTGAAACCTTCCCTTCTTTGCGGCTATTGGTGGATGTCGGGTCCGCCTTCCCGTCCCGTGATCCAACAGACCAAGTCAGTGTCAGAGCGCACATGTACACATTAAAATATGCTTTGTTGCTAATAATTTGAAGCGTAAGATTAATTGATGTTTGAATCATATTTTTTTAACGCGGAAGGTGAAATTGTTCTAAGCTATGGCCAACATGGTGAATAGATTCGGTCGCTTGGGCCTCTGCCGTCTGACAATAGCCACAAAACATTGCCTAAAAATAAACACCTTTGCATCCACCAAAATGCTGCCAAATCCTGAGCTATTGGATTGGTCACCACAGGAGCAGCCACCCAATATTGTCGTTTGCTGCGATGCTACGCCCTTGCCGGTCCCTCGGCTATGGTCTGTCTTTATTGGCTGGCTGCAGTAAGATGAGGACGGATGCTTTGAGTCAACGCCAACCGATGCGGGTGGGCGGCGCGGTGTCGTCGTACGCGTAAAAAGGACCACAGATTGCCAAGGACATGCAAACGCCCGCGTTGCCCCACACTGAGTAGAGATAGGGATAAGCAAAAATAGTAGAAGTAGATAAGAATAAGGAAACCGTGCGCAGAATCTCTGCGGCTGGCAGCAAACAGTCCGGAAAAAATGGTTAGCAATATTTTACGGTACACAAATCGAAAGAGAAAACACACTTTCAAATAGGAGAAGAAAAAAATGTCAACGGTTGAAAAGAAGCCCAAACCAACTGAATAAGCCTCAGCATCGCGAGTGCTCGGTATACTTTACTTATGCAAAGAACTAGACAAACGAAAATCAAACTTCATCTCCAGCAGCCAGCCGATGGCCAGAGCTTTTACAAACCGTCAATCAGAACTTCGTTGTTACAATTGGAGGACTTCAAGCTGTATCGGCATCGATTACAGATTCGGTTCACCGTTACGGTTTGCGGTTGCGGTGCGATTCGAATGTCACGCTTACAGTTAAAGCTCGCCCCTCAACAATATTTTAATAAAATGGTGCTCAAAGTGAATAAAATATAGTGATTGTGTCTAAATTGTAATATTGGTTCCAAAAAGGGGAAATAATACAACTACTCTAAACACGAGCTAATCTTCTGTAAAATGGACCTATCTACAGCCTACCGCTACAATCAGAATATGATGGAATATTATACATGTAATATAGTGTAGTATAGTACCAGAAATTAATATTTTAATTACACTAGAAAAATTAGAATACATTTTTTTTATGAAATATTTGTTTTTTCTACGTGCACTCAGATCAATTATTGTGTAATTGGACATATGTTTTAAATCTGATAATACATCCTTTTTTGCAAGAAAAGAAAATACACGATTTTTGCAGCAGCGAAGGGCATTAAAAAAGTTTAGATCACATTTTGTATTTGTTTAATTCAATGTGTAATTACTAGACATCGGATTTTAAATAAAATCATATTTTTAATGAATAGTGCAAAAACATGTAACATTGTATACATATTTGTTTCATAATATATTAGCAGATTTTTCATATCTTCAACATAAAAGCCTATTTTGGAATGTGTCAACCGATTTGGACTGTTTTGGTTATTTATGAAAAAAAAACATATGCTCTCAAGTAGTTCTAAAAAAATATAATGAAATGGCGCATATTAGTAAAATATATTCTGAAACAACTTTGCTTAAGGCTCTCGTTGACTGACTTAGAAGCGACGTTATTGACTGTCTGAAGCTAATGATTTCGTGGATTAACATCTTATTTAATCATCTTATTATTATTTACCTAACGCTTATTAATTATTCAAATTATACCAGTAAGCGCTTTGAAAATTGCAGTTGCCTTGGAAGTGGGACAAAGAATTTACGGTAACGTTTTGATAGTGGAAAGGGTTTTCTAGGATTAGCGAATACCGATTTGTGCAAATTATCAATTGTGAATTGTGCAACAGTAAAAGGTATTTGCTGTACACAAGTATATTTGACCAATTTGATAGTTCCCTAATTCATTTAAATATGTTTACTAAATTATTCTTTTATTTTCGTCATGACTTTAAATTATTGTTTTATTTGGTGCCTCTATCACATTTATAGCAATTTTCATTGTAGATTCATCTTAGGGAGTCCAATCTATTCGCCATTTAAGCCCTATACGCATTGAGCGAATATGTCTATATCGACTCGCTTAGCGTTGAGCTTATCAATACTTAAGCACAGGACTCTTGTATGCATATTAGGATAAATACAGAGTACTATATGTAACTGAGCATTTAATGTTACTTTGAGTTTGAGAAAAATTATATGTTGCCAATGAACTTGATTTATTATGAGTATTTGAAAACCATGACATTCTATGAATTTTTCTGATATTGAAAATCAATAGCCACTTCATAAATGACAATTGAGTACCAAACAATAGTCTTTTGTTAACAGTTTAACTACAGCTGATATCCTGCTGAGTGTTTCCATAGATCTCAACCAAGAATAGGTCTCAACCAAGAATGTGTGTTAAAACGCAGTTATCCACATTTCAGCTGCTATTTTGTCCATCAAAAACTGTAATTGCAAATAGATTAAAGCAAGAAAAGTAGCTAACGTAACACTTCTATAGAATATAGTCGTCTGGACCACCTTGTGGCACTCTCGTCTGTATAAAAAAAATCATTCCAAAGCTTTAACTTGGCTTTTTTTAAAGAGGTATAAATACATACAAAATTGAAGATATTTTGTCTTGTATGTTCTGTGTTTTTTTATGTTCCTAAGCAATTGAGATAATTTAATTCAAATGTTTTACTGAGATCACATTTGTTATTGAAACA